TAATTTTCTGACCAGCTCATGTCAGTTGTGAACCATCCCAGCTAATGGTAGGGGCTGTGTCCTGGTTTCCTGCACTGCTGCCTTTTCATTTCCTGGTACATGCCAAGTGCTTTCCTACATGAAGCACCATCTCTCTAAGTGCCAGGATGAGTGACTCCAGGATTTGTAGGGCAGAAAGATGCCATTAGAGGAAGAAGTTTTAGATGAAGGGCTGTTGGCATGGCTTGAGGGCAGGTGATTTGCCCCAAGGTCATTCCTGTGGTCTTGTCTTTGGCAAAGTTGTCAGGAAATGGACACTGCTCTTGTGCTTCTTGTACACGTGCCCAAGGACTGCCATGGGAGGGGACATGACACATCCTTGTCTTTTGCTTCCACCTCGTCTCTGTGCTGGTCACTCTTACACTCAAGTGGGCTTCTGCTGGGGGGTTGACCCTATTGCTACTCTACGTGTACTCTCAGATCAGTGCACTGGGTCCTTCGTGTCATGCCCCCTCTGTGCCCTCTCTGGGTCCTCTGTCCTTCCAAGGTGTGCTGGAGTCCTGCCCTGCCAGGGTGCTCCTCTGCATCTCCTCAACACAGTGCCCAGTTTTCCTGGCCTTAGAAGAGCTTAGAGAATTTTGCCACTTTTATTGTAGACATGCATGAAGAAGGGTGTCTGTCTGGTCTTATGGGACCCTCATCATGAGAGCATGTGCAGGCCACTGCAGTGGACTCTCCCGTCATGTGTCCCTGAGCACTGCAGTATAGTTGCACTCACCAGAATTTGCTCCTCTGCAGCTGAATGGTGCTGCCTTTGACCCTGCAGAGTATTGCCCAGAGAATGAAAACACAACCTTTGCCTCCTGCACCCTCCATTTGTTACTTTATCTGCAAGAAGGATGGCCACAAAATCCTGCCCACCTTTGCAGGCCATCATCCCTGAATAGATCCGCTTTTGCTGGAGTGTTGCTGGTGACTGGGATGGGACACAGGCTCCTCATTCCCAGGCCAACACCAGTTGCACTTCTACAGCTCATCAGCCTGGTGCTCAGTGAGGCAGGGCCAAGACCTCCCAGCAAAGGGGTACTGGACAGAAGGGACTGATGTTCAGGTGCTGTTCTCCTGTGAGATGTAGGATGGATGGGCACACCCAGCATAGAGGTAGCACAGCAGAGTGCTGTCCCCTTCCCTTTGGTGGTCTTGCTGAGCTCTTTGCCAGGTGGTGCTGCTGGGAAGCTTCAGCCAGAGCCAAGTTCCCCTCAGAGCAGCTTTCAAGCTTATGTTCTAGTACTCAGTAATATCTGCAGCTGTGACAGATTTGTGCCTGTATCTGGCCAGGATATCACTGCTCTAAGCTGGACTTTGACAGCTTGACCTAGGACCTGTCTCATCTCTGGGAACACAGCTGGCGATTGCTTGAGCCTTGGTTGTTGTCATGGAACCTCATCCTGACCTTGGCTCATGGTCACACTCTTGCTGTTGTTTAACCCTATCTGGCAGCAAAGCACCACACAGCCCCTCCTGTGATGGGGGGAGAATTGGAAGGCTAAATTAAAAAAAAAAACACCATGATTTGATATAAAGAAAGTTTAATAATTAGATACCAATTGGAAGGTGAAAAAAATAAAAAGGAAAAAGAACAACAAAAAGAAAGAAATATTAACCCAAGAAAAACTAGTGATGCAAAAGAAAACTATTCCTCACTGCCAACTGACTGATGCTCAGCCCATCCTGAGCAACAGCAGCCCCTACGAACTTCACTGCCCCAGCTTTGTTGCAGAGCAGGACACGATATGGTCTGGAATACCCTGTTTCAGCTGGGGTCAACTGTCCCTCCTGTGTCCCCTCCCAACTTCCTCTGTACCCCCAGCCTTCTTGCTGGCGGGGCAGTCTCAGGAGCAGAAAAGCTGTGTCGCTATGTAAGATGTCAGCTCAGCAACACTTAAAATGTCCCTGTATTATCAACACTGTTTTTGCACCATTCCCAAACATAGCCCATATGAGCCACTATGAAGAAACTAACTATCACAGGCAAAACCTGTGCACTCCCTGACTTGTCTGTCCTGATTGGCCCCAGACATATATAGATGAGTTTGATCCAGAAAACAAGCAGGACAACATAAAGTCTGTGCACACTTGCAGACCTGTGATCTTACTGGGGTTTTGGAAAAGCTGACGCAGCTCCCTGTCTGCAGTGTGCAGTGACTGTGCAGAACAGAGAGCAAAACTGCAACCCTGAACTCAGTAAGTGCAGATTTTTTCCCTCTTCAGGCACCTGACAGGCACCTGACAGGCAGAATCCTTGGAGAAAGTGCCCTGGGGGCTCAAAGTGGCCCAAGGAGAATCTGGACTTCAGTCAGAGAAAAGGAAAAGGTGGTGTTCCAGTGTCTCACCACCTGACAGTAAAGAGGTTCTCCCTGTAAATATCTCATCTAAAACTACCTTCTTTCAGTCTAAACCATTCCCCTGTATCTTATCACTGCATGCCCTTGTAAAGGGTCCCTTTCCAGCTTTACTTTCAGACCCATTTAGGTATTGGGATGTGCCATAGGGTCTCTCCAGAGCTTTCTCTTCCCCAGGCTGAACAACCTGAACTGTTTGAGCCTGCCTTCATAGCAGAGGTGCTCTGGCCCTCTCACCATCTTCCTCGGCCTTCTCTGGACTGGTTCCAGCAGGTTCACAGCCTTCCTGTGTTGGGGCTCTGCTATGCTGGGGGTCCCAGACCTGGAGACAGTACCCCAAGGGGGTCCAAGTCTGTCTGCTGTATGGTGCATGTAATGTAACAGGGTAGGGGGTTGAGTCACCACCCATGGAAGGGATTTAAAAAATGTGTAGATGTGGCACGAGGGAACAAAGCATAGTGGTGGAGTAGGCAGTGTTATGTTTACAGTTGGACTTGATCTTGAAGGCATTTTCCTTATTCTATATCTGTGTAGCTTCCATCAGCAGTGGGCATTTGAATTGGACAAGTAATTGTGAGGGAATGAAGAAGTCAGTGCAACCAGGAATTACCACACATACAATGAGCCTTTACTTCTCCATGGATCTTCTAACCCTGGTGGGGAATGGCCTCCTCCTTGTCACTGTGTGGAGCAATCAGTACCTGCAGACCTTCCTGCATTTGTTCTTCCCCGTTGGATTTCCCATGTGGAGATCTGGTCCATCACCACTGCTGCATCCAAGGCGATGAAGACCTTCCTTGTCACCAGGGAAACTATTTGTTTTGCCTGCTGGCTGGCAACTAAACATCAACCCCAGCCAGTAACCAAGGCCTAACAGCCACTCACTCACTCCCCCACCAACAGGATTGAGGATAGAATTGGAAGGGGGAAAAGCTAGAAAATCTGTGGGTTGAGATAAAGACAGTTTAATAGGGAAAGCACAATCTGTGTACAGAAGCAAAGAAAGACAAAGAATTAATTAATTCTCTGCTCCCCATGAGCAGGCAGGTGTTCAGCCATCTCCAGAAGAGCATGGCCCCATTCTGATGACAAAACCACCATGTCTCCAAATGTCCCCCCCTCCTCCTTCTTCCCACACCTTTATATACTGAGTATAGTGCCACATGGTCTGAAATATCCCTTGGATCACTTTGGGTCACCTGTCTTGGCTGTGTCTTCTCCCAGCCTCCCATGTACCCCCAACTTCCTTGCCAGCGTGGCAGCAGGACAAGCTGAAAAGGCCTTGGCTCTCTGCAAACTTAGCAATAGCAGAAACATCTCTGCATTATTAACTCTGTTTTGAGCAAAAACTCAAAACATAATCCCATCCCAAAACCTGTGAAGGAAGTTATTTCTACCTCAGCAAGAAACAGCAAACCGTCATTTTCTCCTTCTTCCTGACTACCTGAGTTCATGATCCTCTCAGGGATGTCCTGTAATCGAGATGTCACCATCCGCAAACCGCTCCATTTCACCACCCCCATGAAGAAAAAAACCTGCTTCCTGCATGCCCCAACCCCGTGGACATTGGGCTTGTTGTCATCTCAACCCAGGTGTTTCTCCTGCTGGCTGGCTGTTCTGCATCAGGAAAGATACTGCTGGTATCCAAGTCCCCTGGCTTGGCCTGGGGTTGTCCTGATCCAGATGCTGTTGCCACTGTGTTTTGTTTTTGAGGAGATGAGTAGAGGTCATGATGTGAGGCACTGTGGGTTCCCATCTCCACTGCTACCAATCTTTGGAGTTGTGGTCTCCCTGATGGCAACAGTTGTGGAGTAGCCTGGGATGTCTCCATCCAGCTCTACCAGTGAGTGCACAAAGGAAAACCACTACAGAGAGTCCCACATAGGGCTTTCTATAACTTTGTCCCAAAGTAGATTGGGAGAGTTGCCACAGAATGGCAAAGAGGATACAGGGCCCCAGGGTTGCATGTACAACTTTAATCAGTCTAAGGAAGAGAAGGAGGTGGCACAGAGAGCCCCAGGAGCAACTAATAATATGCAGTGGAGTTCATGCAGGGTGTCCATCTGCCTGCCCTGCAGAGGGAGGGAGGGTGACAGATCAACATGGCAGTTGCTGAGGAGACACAGACAGCAGATCTAAGAGAGAGAGGATGGTGGAAGAAGGCAAAACCCTCCAGAATCTCTGTCTGTCCCTCACACAGCAGTCCTTGGGCATGTAGGAAAGACGCCCAGGAGCAGTGCCCATTTCCTGACAACTTTGCCACAAATCAACCACTCAGACATGACCCAAGTGAACATCACCAGCCCACACTACACGTGCCACCAACCCTTGATCAGAGTCTCCTGCCTGTGCTGACGTCTTTCTGACCTGCAAATCCTTGGGCCTCTTATCCCAGCATTTCCAGAAGCTTTCATATAGGAAGGCATGCGGAATTAGGCAGGAAATGAAAAGGCAGCAGTGCAGGAAACCAGGACACAGCCCCTACCATTAGCTGGGATGGTTCACAATTGACATGAGCTGGCCAGAAAATTATGACTTGCACAAAGGTGCCTGTGGGCCTGGGGCAGTGCAGGACTGCTATAAAAGGCAGCCCAAGTCTCTGCTCTCACATCCACTTTTCTCACCTCCTTCTCCTCAGGAATCAGGTGAGTGGACAATGCCATTCTTCTTCTGCTTCAGCTGATATGAGCTGTGCTAGGCCAGGGCTGGGAGCTGCTTCTGCTGGGAGAGGGAAGGGGAGAGAAGGTGTTGTGCAGAGAGAGGCTGGGACTTGGCTGAGGAGGCTGCTGGGCTTTGGGCTGGGCAGTGTCATGTGGTGCAGGAGGTACCTTGTCTGCAGGGGGGTTGGGTGCAGGGCTGCTTCTCATGTGTGTCTGCTTTGTGCTTCTCCCTGCCCTGTGTGCCAGGTGCCCCTGTGAGCCAGAGACATGTCGTGCTGCCAGCCCTGCAACCCTTGCTGCCAGCCCTGCGGCCCGACCCCGCTGGCCAACAGCTGCAATGAGTGCTGTGTCAGGCAGTGCCAGGACTCCGTCGTTGCCATCCAGCCCTCCCCCGTGGTGGTGACCCTGCCCGGGCCCATCCTCAGCTCCTTCCCACAGAACACCGTGGTGGGATCCTCCACCTCCGCTGCCGTTGGCAGCATCCTCAGCTGTGACGGAGTGCCCATCAACTCCGGGGGCTTTGACCTCTCCTGCATCACCAACCGCTACAGGTGTCGGCCCTGCTAAAGCTGCTGGCAACGTCCTGGGGCAAGAACCTCCAAGACCTCACAACATGGGGCTGGACTGAAAACAGAACTCCGGCACATTGTGTTTCGAGCTTCATGATGATGTTTCCATCTCCCGCTCTTCCATCTCTTTCCTTTGCTTTCTGTGCCTCCCCAGGCCAGCCCAGAGGGATCTGTTGTCCTCCCTCCCTCTGCAGGGCAGGCAGATGGACACCCTGAAGGAGCTCCACTGCATCTTAGTGGCTGCTCCTTTTGCTCTCTGTGAGCCACCTCCTTTGCTTCTTTAGACTCATTAAAGCTGTTGTGCATCCAAGCTTGGGCCTCTGAGTCTTCCTTCATCCTGTAGAAAGCCTTCCATATTGCTTAGGGAAGAGGGTGGAAGAAGCATAAGATGGGACTCCCTGTAGTGCCCTTTCCTTGGGAGATGACAAAAACATCCCTGGCTACTCAACAGCCAAAGATCACCAGCAAGACCGTGGCACCAAAGGCTGACAGCAGTGGTCAAGGGAAACAGCAATGGCTGGGCACAGCCCACAACAGCATCTCCTCCTTCTCCTCCCCTCCATTATCTGGTCCAGTGTCCATGTGAGATACATACCTCAAACAGTCCCTCAGCACAGGCAGGACCCAGCTCCTGCCTAAGATGCAGGGTAGTTCACAAGTCCGGATTGGTATCAGCTGTACTCAACATA